TATATATATATATATATATATATATATATTTGTTTGGCTGTTTTTCGATTTGTTCAATTGTCTATATCTCAAACTGTTAATTGTATTTATATGCATCCAATAGAAAAACTTGTTACTTTCTTTTCTCAAGTCACTTAAAAATATGTCATGCAAGATTAAAAAAATCATCAAATTCTGAAAGATAAATGCATATTTACCATAATTTGCATTTGACAATATCCCAAAAAAGGAATTATGGAAAGGGCTGGCCCTTCTTCTTTGATGATTATTGAACCATGTTAGTTCTTGATTAGGTGGCTCGCTTCCTTGGGAAATGGCGGGCATTGTGGGTTCACTTTGACACCTCCCAACATAAGAACTAGGGATTATGTTTGTTGTTTTTTGTTGAACATTTTGGAATATCTTTAGTATTTCTTCATGGCATTGTTGATCTGCACAAAACCTTGGAGTCAAGCCAGTATTATCTTGTTTATCAATATCTGCTCCTTGCTCTAGAAGGAACTTCACTATTTCAACATTTCCTTCACACACTGCAGCATGGAGTGCAGTAGTTCCATTGCCTGTGGATTGTGTCACGTCCCCACCACATTGAACAATGCCCTTGAGTAATTCTAAGTTATTTTGCTCTACAGCAGTGCATGCAAAATGACCAACATCTGCACATGATATGTCTGCACCATTGTCTATAAGAAGTTTCATGATAGATTCATGTCCACCTTTTATTGCTTCCCAAAGTGGGACATTTCCATCTGAGTCTGTACAAAATAAGAGTAGATAAAGGCTACACCAATAAGTCAATTGCTAATATACATAATTTCAATATGAAAAAAAAGCTTCTACCAATAAAACCAAAATGTGTACTAGATAAAATGATAATTTAGCACTTTTTGTTCTAAAAGGATTAATGAGATGATAAATTTATATGGATAGAGTAATTTATTTGATAATAAAGTACACTTTTGGTCCTCCCATTTTTTTATTATTTCAATTTGGTTTCTATGTTTAAAAAGTTTTACTTTAGTTTCTTAAAGTGTCTCTATTAAATTAAGTTAGTATTTTTATTAGTTTATCACATTAACCTAGTCAATTTGATAACATGTGACAAATTGTGTGGGATGTCACATTAGATAGGTGGTTGTCCCTATAGACAATGTTTAACGGATTAAAATGAAACTTTTAAAATTTAGGAAATCATAAAGAAAACCAAAATTAAGATGAGAGACCAAAATTGTATTATTATAACCTTCATTTTATATGTTGAATGTGTATTAAGGGAAAGAAAATTATTAGTATTGAATAAAAAAAATGAGACTAATAAAGATTTACATATATAATTATTTGATAAAATATATTTTTAAATTTATCATGTCACATTCTAATGTCAAATGTCTTCATTAGTTTTTTTTAGCATTTATGTTTGGAAGGTATTGACATACAACATTAATCATTTTATGCTATTTTTCTTATTTATTTTAAGTAGTAATAGGATTTTCAGAAAGTCTTAAATGTACCTTGGATGTTGACTTTAGCTCCATGTTCAAGAAGCAAAGATACACAATGATTATTGCCTTTAAAAGCTGCCAAATGCTGTTACATGTGAAAGTAGAGTTGTGAGAGTCTAGCATAGTACATATACACGTGTATGTGTTCATACTAAAGAAAATAATATTTTCTAACCAATGCTGTCTTTCCATTCTTATCTACTTCATTTGGATCTGAACCCTTCTTCAGTAGTTTACGCAATAATAAATCATCATCTCTACTAACTGCAAACAATAAACTGATAGGCAAATCCATTTTGCCCCTGGCCAACATTCCCTCTACATTTTCCAAAATTCCTCTTATCAATGGACCCCCAAATTCATGTAAATGCTGCACCAAGAAATGCAAATATCAAAATCAAAATATCAGACAATCCCTTCCTTGGGAAACAAGTAATTTTTGTGATTCAAATGATATTTATAAAATTTCAATTCCACACATAGGAATCATGTTCCATTCAACACAATAAAATCTACTAATCATGTAAACAAATTACATCATGATCTTGTTTTCTAATGCATCACCATCAAAAAAATGCTTTCTTGTATTGTTTTTCAATTTTTTTTGTCTTTTAATCTTTTTAAGATGTACCTCTACAAATCTCCACAAATACATATGTTAACAAACAAATGAAAAGTCAAGTGTTTTGTAACATATGAAAAATTTGGATGAAATATTTTTCAAAAATTAAAACATTAGATAATGTAGAGGTTAAATATAATTATGTCTCCATTAAAAATGAAAATATTTCATATAATGGCCTTCATTAGGAAAATTAAAGGAATGAATAAAAGAATCTTAATAGTTTGATCTTTTGTTATACCATTGGATTAGAAAATGAAAGGAATTAAAACATAAAGATAACATTTAAAAATAACAATGACAACAAAATTTGTTGGCTATGAAACCAAAAAAAAATGTTCTTTAAGTGAATGAATGTACAAACAAAACTAAAACATATACAAACTAGAATAATTTATATAAATAAAAAGGAAAAAAATTATAAGAGATAAAATGTTTTATATACTTGAATATAATTGTTCATGATCATTGTTCCATCTCCAACATTTGATTGAGTAAGATTTAGAAAGATGGTTCGATTTAGGCGTAAAATCTGGCTCAATCTCTTGGTTCGAACTGTAAATAGTTGTGGCATATAACATAATACTCCCGTTTCTCCTACTACATCTCCTGGCTTTGCTTCTCCAACAACCTAGTATAATTGCATACATGTTTTGTTAGTCATAGAAAATTTATATATATATATATATATATATATATATATATATATGGTTAATCTCACAACCTCACATAAAAAACAATGGTCATTCATAAAAATATTAATGTAAAGAAACTTGCCTGTTCAATGCCATTCCTATGAATGATAAGATCCTGTTACTCGTAAAAAAATGAAAGTTAAAGTTTGCATTTCATTAAAAAAGTTATTAATTTAATAAAGGACATTCATGAATTCATTAAATAAAAGACATTAAAGAATTATCTATTTCATGTACATTATAAGGATAGTCACAAGAATAGTCATGAAATAGATGTCTTAATTGCACCTTTTGATTTTCTTGGTTTCAATTGTAATAATATTACTCATTTATTTTTCTACTTCTTTCCTTCTTTTCTTGGTTTTTACCATCTTATTGTGTGTCTTAGAAATTTAGAATATCAAATAGTTGAATTTATTTGAGAAATTACTATATATATAGTTATTCTAAATATCACTCAAGGACTTATTTGTTGCACACGTAATACAATATAATATAAAAATATACATAAAAACAAAAAGGAATATAATATCTTACAGCAGCTCCAGTAACAAATATATAAAAGTCTGTTGGTGCTTCATTTTGCAAAATCACATCTTCCTTTGGAGGAAAATACTCAGCTTTCATCTCTGTAACCTTCAAAAATTGATATTTAAGCATGGTCATATTAATCAATTTATTTATTAAAAATAGGAAGAATAATTAGAAATAAACATAAAAATAATTTTTTAAATAATTTTTTAATATTACTAGTCTATCTATTAAAAGGCTTTTTAATTACTAACTCAACTTTTATACATCAAAAATCATATTTTTGAATAAATTTTCTCTATATTTTAATCTTTTCACTATAACAAAATTGTCATATAGTGACATACACTCTATAATGACATTATACATGTCACTAAAAATTACTTTTACGCACACAGTAACTATAATATATGTTGGTATATTATTAAAAAGTGTAGGTATAGACTATAGTGACACACAAAATATGTTATTAAATCTCATCCAAAATCAACACTCAAATTGTGCGTAACTATATGTTAAATAGACATATACCTACATATATTGTACTTATAATGACACTTTTTGTATGTCACTATATGTAACATTTCTTGTAGTATTTTTAGAAACAAAAGTTTTATTCTTTTAACATAATAGGTTAATATTAAAACAAACACAAAATTATTACTAGTTGAAAAAGTAGGTCATTTGACACTCCATGAAACAAATACACTTTGTCAACAAGCGGATAAAATAGGTAGTGTGAGATGCTAGACTGAATGGCTTTTGGAAGGGAATCTATGATTTCTTGTTGTTGCAACCCTTCTAAATCCGTTCTATACTTCATAAGCAAATGGGCAAACATTTGTTCTTGCAAACGAACAGGCAATTGATTCCTTTTGGCAAAATTTGAGGCAGATTGGACAGTGTCTCTCTAATATGTCACAAAAAAACAAACACTTTAAGTTAAAATTATATAATATCAATGAAACTACTGAATAAAAAATATAAAAAAATATTAACAACATAATGTTTAATGGATTCTTTTTTCTTTCTTTCATATAATATAACTTTAAACTTATAAGCAGTGTTTTATACTTTTATTAGCAACCACATTTTCGTTGTGATCCTTTTTGGAAAATTTGATGATAAATACAGTTGAAGCAATTATAGAGACTTCAAACCATAGCATTGCAGCCAAAATTGTGATTGCAAACAATTTTTTATAACCTTGTCTATAAGGCTTAACTAAAAATAAAAGGTCATGAACAAGATGTACTTACATATTTTTTAGTTTTATCAGTCCAGTGAACAACCAAGTTGGTCATGTTGCCTATTATATATGATGTGAGTCCAAGATTAAAGAGCATATACAAAATCTCAAATACCATTTCTTTTGTATTTACAGGATGTAGATCTCCATAACCAACTGATGAAAGAGTCATTATGGACCAATATATCGCTACTACATATTTTCCCCATAGATTTTGGTCAATGGCAGCAGGCATAACTCCAATCCACGTAGA